ACACACACACACACACACACACACACACACACACACACACACACACACACACACACACACACACTGTGACTAACACTGTAGGTCACAAGTCAAGAAAGACATTTCTCAGGTGGTCTCAGGGTCCAGACCAGGTTCCTGAGGTGGTCTGGACCCTGAGACCACCTCAGGAACCTGGTTACTGAGGTGGTCTCAGAGTAGTCCCACTGTGTAAATCAGATCTGGACTGGTCTTGGTCCTGAAGCGTGAGGATCCAGAGTGTACATGTACTAATACTGTGGTAATAGATGTATTTGTACACAGTGTATATATAAACACAGCTGGTGGACTCTGGTTTCGTCCMCAGGTGACCCACCACTGTCCCAGTGTTCCCATCCTCCTGATCGGCACAAAGAGCGACCTGCGGAACGACGGCGAGGTCCAGAGGAAGCTGAAGGATCAGAACCAGGCTCCCATCAGCCAGCAGCAGGGTCTCAGCCTGGCCCGGCAGATCCAGGCGGTCCGCTACATGGAGTGCTCCGCCCTCAACCAGGACGGCATCAAGGAGGTGTTCGCCGAGGCCGTGAGGGCCTACCTGAACCCACAGCCCGCCGTCACCAAGAAGCCCTGCGTCCTGCTCTAAGACCGGACCGGACCGGACCGGACCGAGCCCCTCTGTCGGAGAGACTGCTCAAAAATCAAAATATTTAAGATTTTTAAACGTGTTTTTATTTCTGATTAGGAATGACTTTTGAAGCTGGAAAATGACCCTCTGTGTGATTCTGTCCTGACCTTTGACCCCACAGCAGAACCTTATCAGAACCGGACCGGTCTCAGAACGAGCCTGGCTGGTTCCGGCTGGATGAACCTGCAGGTTTAACTCAGGTAACATCAGAACCTACCTGAGGAGCTCCATGAACCCGGTCCAACAGAACCTCCTGCCGGTACGAAACAGAGGCCAGCGGCTCCAACAGGAAGTAGTTCTGCTCCAACAGGAAGTAGTTCTGCTGAAACCAGGAAGTAGTTCTGTAGCTTCGTATGGACCCTCAGAGTTCAGCTGAGACAACTGTTCATCCAGAAAACTTTTATCCTTTTAAAAAGAATTGTTTCAGAAAAAATAACATTTATAWATGAAATTATTAATTAACAGAACGTTTGTGATATTTCTGGTGAGTCCTTAAAATGTTTGTTTTCCAAAATGACAAAAACCTTTAAACCAAACTACAGAATTTAATTTTTTTTTTTTCCTTTTTCTTTGAATCTTTACAGATTTTTTGATTTTAGCTTCGATGCTAACAGAGGTCGTTTGTTTAAATTCATCTTCTGTTAAACTTTATTCAAATTAAATACTGGTGACTCGTTTTACCTCATTTTATTTAAATACCAAAATAAAAACCTGTTTCACAGTAAAAATGTGGCTGTTTTTCATTTCAACACTTATTTTACTCAGAGCTAACCGCTAACGTTAGCATGACGATACAAGATCAGGGCTGGCAGCAGCTCACTCAGCTGACCAGGTCACTGGATCATTTACTGAACGGTTCTGGAGAAACGGGTCTCAGTTGGACCACAGCAGGAAGTGAAGTTAATCAATAATCTGACACCAGAACAACTTCCTCAAACCACGAAAAGAGTCTTTATAAAGAGGAGCCATCGGTCCCAACAGAACCACAAGGATCCAGTTGGATTTCACAGCCGAGCTCACATACTCAGAGCGAGGTCTGGTTCTGGTTCTGATGACACGACAGGCCTCTCTGCAATTTCAGGATGTGGTCTTTTCCTTCAGAGCCACGCAGATCCACTTCCTCTTCCTGTCAATCACCTCCTGCTGGAGCTCACAGCTAAGCAGGGCGGGAAGTGGGTCACATGGTTCCAGTTCTGCTGGAGTACCTGAGCTGCGTTTACAACCATTCTACACCAGTAAACGGATCAGAACCAGCAACGTCTCATGTAGCAGTTCTGTTTTCTATCAAAATAAGTCAGAAAACACACTTCCTGACAGGAAAAGATGCAACTTCCTGTCTGTGGTTGACTGTTGGCAAAATATCTCAAGACAGAAAGTGTCACTGATGTTCGTGTACAACTGAAGACAGTCTTTAGCCAACCTGATTCAAGATGGCCTCCAAAGCTAATAAACCTGATTCAAGATGGCCTCCAAAGCTAACCAACCTGATT